CGCCTTGAGAGAGGTCATTTTTGCCCTGTCGGGAATGTTCTAGACGCAACGGCTCCTGTCCTCGGACCCTGGTGAGGTTTGAACCCGTGCGGTTGGTTTAGAAGGCCAGGCGTCCGGCCTCGGAGCTGCACACGTGTTTCTCCGAGGGTGAACAGACTCTGAGGGTGGCTTGGGGGGCCGAGTCAGGCCGTGGCCTTCCCGGGGCGCCGGCCCTGCTCCCACACACGCCGGCCGTCTTCTGTCCCGAGAGGCAGTTCATGTCCACAAAGGCTCCGCTCCGAGCCTGCAAGTGAGTGGTTCTCAGTATATTCACAGGGTCGTACGACCACCACCCGCTCTCCGTCTGCGTGGATCTGCTGTTCCGGACACGTCACGTGGACGGAACCAGGCGCTGTGTGGCCTTCCGTGTGGCTCAGCATCGCGGATAGCTTGGCACCGCTTTCCGGGCCTGAATGCCTCCCGTGCACGGACGGGCCACACGCACATGTCCTGCTTTTCCCTCCCCAGAGCGCCCGGGGGCTCGCTCGTCCCACATCGCGGGGGTCACTGCACACCCTTCGGCCCGTGGGACATGCTCCGGAGTAGTTCTGTGCCCTCTCTTCATTTAAAAACTAAAAAATCCAATTTGTACCAATGCAGAAAACGGCTAAACCAATTTACATTTTTGAGGGCAGCTCAAAACAACGACACATGTTTTCTGCGAAGCCTCGGGCTTCTTGTCCAATTTGAAACGACAGCGATTGAAAGTGCCTGACTTTCTGGATTCTTCTCAGCAGAAAGCGCGGTTTCCAGCCTACGGTGGAAGCAGGTGGAGGGAGGGGGGAAGCTCCGTAGCTCAGAGAGCCGCCAGGTGGGGGCCGTGCCCGCGTGGAGCTGGGGAGGCCGTGCAAGGGACGGCGAGCTCCTCTCCCGGCTGCTGCGGCCCGCGGGCGGGGACGCACTGCCTTCTGTGGCGCTGGGCAGGGCACGGTTCTCGGGGCCGCGGGGCCGCGCGTGTTCCCGGCCAGCCCTGCACGGGAGGCGCTCCGCTGGGGCCGGGGCCCGGCGTGGGGGGTGGGTTCTGAGCGAGAGCCAGTCGGATGCGCTGAGATAGTGTCCTCAGCATCTCGTCCAAGCAGTGAGTCGGCCCGGACCGGACGGGGCTTTGGGAGGACGACCAGCCACGTATACAGCATGGGGTGCTGTGTCATTACACACGTGTGCACGCACACAACACGCATGCACACGTGTGGGCAGACGCGCCTGCATACCTCACACGTGCACACGTGCACACGTATCACGCATACGTGCGTACCACAGACGTGCCCACAGATGCACGCACACTCACACACAGGCACACACACAGGCACGTTTCGGCCCCAGGACAGCTTCCCTCCATCCCGGCCCGGCCCCCTCCCCGGAGACCCGTGTCCGGCCACGCCCGGGTCTCTCCGCCCTCCCTGCTTCTATGACGTTCGACGTTCCCATTGTTTCCTGCAATCCCACAATCTGGGGAGGCAGGAGAGGACAGTCCAGTCTGAAAACTGCTCCTTCTCAGGGACCGGAGGCTGGTGCGGGAGTTTTCACTTCCCACCTTGGAGGTGCCCGGGCCCACCTTGGGGAGACAGCCAGGGCTCCGCCCCACACGCTGGGACACACCCTGTGACGTGTTTCCCCACACCTGTCTCCCCCCGCCCAGGGCCCGAGACTCACGAATACTGGCCACCACTCACCACCGCGTGCCTGGTTGCCTACCGACAGTGACTGTGCCTTTCTTCGTGACGGCACAGACCCCTCTCGGGTCACGATGAAGGACACATCCTTGCCCTGCTTTGCAGCGTAGCGTCAGGGCTGTGTTACGGTACGGGGCCGTCTTCTAGGGCTGCCGGAACAAAATACCAGGGGCTGGGGCTTAATCAGCAGAACCTTTGCGAAGGTTCCGGAGCCTGGAGGTCCCAGATCAAGCTGTCAGCAGCTTTGGCTTCTCCCGAGCTCTCTCCTTGGCTCGCAAATGCCCGTGTCCCTGGTGTCCCTTCCTGTTCTTATGAACCTGTTGGATCGGGGTCGCCCTTGGGACCCCAGGTAACCTTAATTACCTCCTCAGAGATACCTCCTGTCTTGAAATAGTCATGCTGAGGATGAGGGCTTCGACATGGATTTAGGGTCGGGGGGGGGGGCACCATTCGGTCCACAGCACACACAGACCCTGACCTCAAGAAATCCCACGTGTAAACCGGAGAGCTGGAATGAGCATCCAGTGCATCAAGGGAGGGCACGGATGGCAAAAATCAGTGTCAAAACATGCCCTTAAATGCTTGCTAAGCGTCTGTAGGAACACTAACCACGTACCGGAAATAAAAATGTTCAAAAGTGAACTCATCACCGCAGGGCATTCCTCTGCCGTTGAAGCAGGTGAACCTTCATTCTCCCCTGTATCAGTCAGGAGGCAGTAGGGCGAGCGGCAGTAACAAACAGCCCCAGTTCTCACCGTCATTCAGAGCCTCGGGCCGGTGAAGCAGCTACCGTCTGAGTAATTCCGGCCGCTCTGCCTCAGGAACGGAGAGCCCGTCCCTCCGTGAAGGCGGGGAATCGCTCTAGTCCAGGAGTGACACACGCCGTGCCAGCTCACAACTGACTGGCCAGATTCGTCACGCAGCTCCCAGCAACCACACAGGCTGTGTGCAGGAAGCACAGTTTCATGGTGTGTCCGAGGTGGCCAGAGGCCAGAAGGCGAGGGGTCTGTAGCTTTGTGCACACGAGTCAGCCTCGTGGGACCCTCTGCAGGGCAGAGTGGGTCTGGAGGGACCCCCCAGAAGACACTCGGCGCGTGACCTACACCCCGACACGTCTGCAGCTGGGCCCCCCGGCCTGTGCTGCCTCCCTGGCCGCAATTCAAATAGGGAGCCTGGACTCAGTCTGAGTCCCTGACACCTGACGCTTCCTGCCCCCATTTGGAACCCCAGTGACGGGTAACTCTCTGCTCCCATGGTTCATGCCATTGGCTGGAGAGACACATCCAATGTCCACCCAGTCTGAATCTTTCTGTGATTCAGTCCAGGGATGGGACGCGTCGGGGAGAGGATCGTGGGCGTGTGCGTGTGCGTGCGCACCTGCAGTGACCGTTAGGAAGCTAATCACAATGAATCCATGAGGGAGTTTGCTGCCTTAATGAAGCCATTAGCCAAAGACCATTCTGAGAGAGAAAACGTGAAGTCTGAACTCTGAGCACATTACCTGTAATGAACCTGAAAGTGGACTTGGGGAATTTCCGCGGTATTCTTAGCATCCGTAATAGCCGGTGGGCGAGCCGCCAGATCGCGGCCCCAGCTCCCGGGAATCCTGCGGACCCAGGAGAAGACACGGCAGAGGCTTATTTAAGGGCTGGCTTCTGGGTACAAGCATCAGAGAGAGGCTGGGGCTCCACTTAGAACTGATGACTCTTCCAGCTGTGCTCCTGTCTAATGCAAAAGGTCATTTCTGTGTCAGTTGCTTCCCTGGAGAAAGAAGCGAGAAAAATCTCTTTCCTTCCAACTCCCGCTTCAAAGTGGGGCAGTGCTTCTGGAGAGGGACTTCGAGAGAAGTTGGCCCAGAGGGAAAAGGTGTTAATAGAGGTAGGGAAGCATTACGAAAGTGCGAGCCCGTAGTGCCCACAGACTCAAAAGAGAAGGCGCTTTCTTTATCACTTTGAAAATCACTACATGTGACGCTAATCATTTTGCGTGAAGCCAGGAAGGACACGATGAACCGAGGTCCCCATAGCTGCGATGGAGTGGGCTCTCCAGGGCAGGACAGGAAGAGCCTGTGGTCTGCATAAAAGTCTGCAGAAAGATCCCAGCTGTCTGGTGCCCCTCACCAAGGTGTAGTGACTGTGGCCACCGGGGATTAAAAGTGACCTGGCTCACCGGTGTCGTAGCGGAACACCCGCCATTGCTCTTTGCCGGGAGGAACCTCTTCCTTCTTCTTCTGATGGTGGCCTTTCTCCTGTTGGACTCCGTCTTGGTAGGCTTGTGAATCAAAGGGGAGCCATCCTCCCCGGGATAAGGGATGGCCATTTAACCCGACCAGACTCCCCCCACCCCACACCCAGGGAATTTAGATAGATCATCTACGGAGTGACTCAGGAGACAAATGGCCCAAGCCATTCACTGCACTCCACTCTGGAGATCCTGTCCCTTCCTGGCTTTCAGTGTCCCGCAAGCTGATCTGGGCCCTGCCTTTCCAAGGCCCCTTTCAGCTTCTCCGTTAACCCTGGGAGTGGCCCAGGACCCAACGGGTAAGAACCTGCATTAGCCTCCTGTTGCCATACCAAATTAACAGCACCTCCTTATATTACAGTCCTGGACACCAGAAGTCAGAAATGAGCCTTTATGGAGCTGAATTCAAGGTGTCAGCAGGGCTGTGTTCCCTCTGGAGGACCTAGGGAAGGGTCTGTCTTTTTCCAGAAACCAGAAACCATCCACGTCTCTTGGGTCATGAGGACATCACTCTGACCTCTCCCTCTGTCCCTGCCTCACTCCTCTTCCTCTGACCCTCTTACAAGGACTTATGATTCCATTGGGTCCTGCCCCCAGATAATCCAGGATAGTCTGCCCTTCTTAAGATCCTTGACTTGACCACAACCGCAAAGTCCCCTAATACCATGTAAGGGAAAAGACTCACTGGTTCCGGAGATTAGAACAGGGCGGGCCTCTGGGTGGGAAGGACTCACCTGATTCCATTTCTGTCGTCTACAACCAAACCCTAACTGGTACATAACTTCTACTCTCTCTCTACAAAAGGAGAATTAATAATTTTTGACTTTGGTAGCTGGAAACCAAGAAGGCGGCCGTAAATAAACGAAATTGTAATGTTCTTGGAAAGTTCTTCCAAAGAATGGCCTTTTTTGCCCCAAATCCCAAAGTCAGTGCTATGGTGTCTTGTCCAAACAAACACAGCCTGGCAGATACTTGGGGAACTTCCCGCTTGTGTCCCGCTGAGCATATCAGCCCCCTTGACCCAGCTCTGTCTGGTTCTTCTGACAGGACACTGAGATTCTCAACACCGCCATACTCACAGGAAAGACCGTAGCCCTGCCCATCAAGGTGGTCTCTGTGGAGGAGAACAGTGCCGTGACGGATATCTCAGAGCTGGTGGAGTGCAAGTCCGCAGACGAGGATGTCCTCAAGGTAAGCACCCCCACTGATCAGTCACCTGGGTTGAAATGATGGAAACTGTTGGGGCACACCCCATTCACAAAGGGGGGTCAGCACCAGGAAGTATGAAGTCCAATCACACGACCACTCTTCCAGCTCCAAACCCAGTTTGGAGTGTGGTCTGCTTTGGAGCGTGGCTCAAACCCCAGATACTTCCAATAACCGAGCGGGTGACATGGCGGGTGAAGTGGTCAGGGCAGACGGACACGCCCCACACTAGCTGGGCATCCGGAGTTCGGCTCCTGCTGATGTGGTCACCAGTAAACGGGAGATCAGTATCGCCATTCCTTCAAGAGAAGCCGCAAATTTGCGCTTTATGTAAAAGTCACGTGTTCGCAAATTTGGGATTTATGTAAAAGTCGCCCGTTTTTCAGTGTTGGCCACCAGTTGTAACTTTTTTTTAATGGGCAAAAAAATAAAATACATCTGCAATGTGAGTCTGGCCCAGGCAGCTGTCCAAACCTCTGTTCTGTTGGGCAGACCATGAACCGGGAGTCAACTCCAGCCCCCTGATCGTTGTGTAAATAAAGTTTTATTGGGACACGACCGCTCAAATCTATCTCTGTACTGTCTGCGGTGGCTTTGGCACGACCACAGGAGTGACAGGCAGTTGTGACCGAGACCATCTGGCCCGCAACTCTAAAATATTTGTTACTTTGCCCACGCCAAGGAAAAGTTTGCCTAGAGCAACCCCTGCTGTGGAGTTTAAGTTTCGTGAGGGAACGACCCAAATTCTTGGTCTTTCCCACCACATTTGCTGGGATAATGTACTCACAGCGCTGGCTCCAGGGATAAGACAGCATAAGGGCTTTTCCAAGCCAGAAACGAAGCTTCTGGTCTTTCTCCAGATGAGAGAGATCTCCAGATCTTTCTCCCAGATGCATTGGGTCTTTATGTATTCTTGTAGGTATGTCTCTGGGATTACAAAAGATGTAATCTCCGGCATCTCAAGGAAGAGAGGCTTTTCCCCAATTCCCCCAAAAGTGATCTATGGGCTAAGGGCAGCCCCAAAGCCACACACCCAAAAAGCTGGTGGCGGGAGGGGCGGGGATGAAGTTCTAAACCATACTGTTCAACAGGAGCACAAATGTGGGCCACACGTGTCGTTTAAAATTCTCCGTCACGTTCACGAAAGGGAGAGCAGGTGAAGGTAATTTTTTAGATGTCTGTGTTTAAGCCATTATATTAAAAACATTATCATCTCAACATGTGATCGATATAAAAATCATGAACGCGCTGTTTCGTACTCGGTGGGGCCCAGTCGCTTCGAATCTACGGAGAGCGCGTGTTTGTTCCTTTTCCACGTCAGGGCTTCCTGGCCACCGTGGCGAGCGGCTTCCCCGTTGGACTGCTAAGATCCGAACCCGGGGCAGGATTTTGCAACGTCGGCACTATGCTGGTGTTTTGTGCCAGATAATTCTTTGTTAGGGGGCTGTCCTGTGAGACGGATTCCTGCCTCCTACCCCAATACATACATGCCTGTCACACGCCCTGAATGATGAAAACCAAAATTGTCTCCAGTCATTGCAAAATGTCCCCTGGTGGGCAAAATTTCTTCCACTGAGAACCGTGCTCTGTTTCTGGCTGCACAGTCACCCCACTTCCTTGTGGCCGAATCACCCCCACTTTGTTGGTGAGGCCAAGGTGGGGAGGAGTCTCTTGGTTGGAGCTGGAGCCCTCCCTGCCCTGGCCCCCATCATGTACCGGATCCCTGGTGGCCATTGGTTTTCATTACTGATCTGTGATGGGCACTGGGGAGGGCACCTGTCGGGATGAGCACTGGGTGTTATATGGAAACCAATCTGACAGTAAATTGTATTTAATGTTAAAAAAAAAAAAAAAGAGCCAGGACCTCGGGGACACCTGGGTGGCTCAGTCGGTTAAGCATCCGACTCTTGGTTTGGGCTCAGGTCATGATGCAATGACCATACAGAACCTGCTTGGGATTTTCTCTCTCTCTCTGCCTCTCCCTCGTTCGCACTGTCTCTGTCTCTCTCAAAAATAAATAAATTAAAAAAGTGTTTTTTAAAGAGCCGGGACCCCTGATGACTTTTCTAGATGGATAAGAAGGCCATCTGTCAGCCTGAAAAATCCCAGAACCAAGTTTTACCGCAGTTGTGGGTAGAATCATCCTTAGCTTCTCTTCTAGGAGTTTGTCATGGAGCCCATTGCCAATATTTCCAGAAACATAATCAGCGTCTTCAGAGAAACAAATGTATTCGAACCAGAAATTGCCCCTGGAATGAATTTGGAGCAGGCTGCCCCTGGCTGTTGACAAAGCCACGTGACATCCTGCACTCCAACTCAGTCCCCAGGACCCCGATTCGGCCGGTGGTTTGGGGTCTGGCGGGGTCGGCGATGCTCGCAGAGCTGGTCTGTCACGGCGCGGGGTTCCACGGAGAGGACACGGGGCAGGGGATGTGTAGTCAGTGTCTCCCCTGCAGCAGGTGTGTGCAGGGCTAGATTGGGACGGCCCTGAGTTCCGCAAAGGACTGGAGACTCTGAGATCCACGCCGCGCCTCCGACGAGCCAGCCTGCGCAGTTTGCGGGCAGAAGACGCGACTCCTGGTCAGGGACGTAGGGCATCCAGGGAGTTCGCGCCTTCCCGCACCAGATGCCTGAGCGCCTCTCCCCACAGGGTCATGCCACGGGCCATGCCGGGACACCTGCATACGTAGGCTGTAAGGAGCCCTGGGCTTAGGGGACCTGAGTCCTTTATAAAAGGCACATTATGGGCTGAACGTTGGTGTCCCCCCCAAATTCATACGTTGAACCCGTCATCCCCCACCCCCACCCATGTGATGGCGTGAGGAGGTAGCACCTTCGGGGGTGATCAGGTTTGGATGAGGTCATGAGGGTCGGGCCCCTGTGGTGGGATTGGTGTTCTCGGGAACAGAGGAAGCCACGGGAAGTCTCTCATAGACAGCGGCGTGGGGTCACAGCGAGAGGGCGGCTGTTGGGAAGCCAGGAGGAGGGCTGGGCCACAGAGCCGGTCCATGCTGGCACCTTGATGGGGGACGTCCAGCCTCCGGAACCGTGAGGCACAGAGTCTCCCGCGTGAGCCGCCCGGTCTGTGGGGTTCCGTCCGAGCAGGGCCAGGCGGACAGGGGCAGACAGCCCGCTCGCCTCCCCCGCCCTGGAGAGAGACGGCGTCCCTGTTCTGTTTTGCCACAAGCATGCCCGCCCTCTGCTCGACAAGGGAGCACCGGGGCTGGTCGCGAGACGAACATCCGTGACAAGACCATTCAGACAACGGCAGCCGAGGCTTTGTAGGGTGCCGGAAGTTCAAGGGTGCCGTGGGGAGTTTCTTCTAAAACGTTCTTGCTGTGCCTTTCCGGGCTCCACGGTCTTGGGCAGCTCACACGTTCCGTCCGCCTCCGGGTCTCCTTCGGAAAGTGGGGACAGTCACGGTGCGTGATTCAAAAGGCCGTTGTAAGGACTACCAGGTTTTATTAATCCAGTGAAGACTTGGCCACTAGGTCAAGTGGAAAGGACTGGACTCTGACCCCGGTTGGCTCGGGCAGTCCCCTCGATAGCCCCGTGCGGTCGGTCAGGGGCTGCAGACAGAGCACCTACAGGTATCATCTGTGTGGTGTGCAGAGTATGGCTTAAGAAAATCAGAATTTCCACCTATTTCAAGTGTGCAGCCCAACGATATTTAAGTAAACTTACTGGGTTGGGCAACCATCACTGTGACCCAGTTTTAGAATATTTTTGTCACCCCATTTACCGTTAATCCCATTCCCACCCGTAGCCCTGGGCAACCGCTAATCTACTTTCTGTCTCTACAGATTTGCCTTTTTTTGGACATTTCACATAAATGGAATCCTACAATATGTGGTCTCTTATTAAAACAGTTCGGTGATCATTTCTTACACGTCTCTTGACACATCTAGGTGTAGCCGCACGTACAGAGACAATTTTTTAAAAGATGGGATCATGTCAAAGGTTTTTTAGCCGCAGTTTTTTAACTGGCAAAGCTACACACACACACACACACACACACACACACACACACACACCTGCCAGCCAGCCTTCCTCCACGATGATGTGATCACACACGTAGCTCGAACACACAGATAAGGATTGAACACACAGAACACGTAGCATTCACACCGTTGTGTCTGCCCCCTTCTCGCGCCCTGCGATGCCTCCCGAGAGCCCCGGCTGGTGGGGGTTCGGGAACGGAGGCACCACAGGAGCCGAGGGGTCCGGTGTGCTGTGTGCTCAGCGTGTGGGTTTGCAGGCGTCAGACTGTGAGGGCGGGAGGCCGTGGGACATCCACGAGCGTCTGTGCGGGTTTCCTGGGCGGGGGAGGAAGACCAGTGTCCCGAGCGGGTCAGGGATTTGCTGTCGGGCAATAGCGGAGGAGACGGCGTGCCGTGGACAAGCCCCCCCGGCTCCCCGCACCCACGGAGTGCTTTTGCCCACATTCGTGCACGCGTCAGCACCTCCGGCATAAGGCCGTGTCCTGTAGCCGAGGGCAGGGCATAGGACGCTCTGCAGAGGCGTCTTGCTCGCGGTTCTCGAGGTGGCGGTCTCTTAATGGCGTGGTTGAATCACACGCTGGTGTCTAGGTCCCCTTCTGGTAAGAATGACAGGTGATGACGAGGCACACGGGGGGCGGGGCTGGAGAGGGCCCGGGGCGAGGGACGCTCTGGATGGAGCGGCGTCTGAAAAGGACACATCTGGGCCAATTGGCAGGGAGACAACAACTGTCAGTGCCCACTGTAACCCTGTCCCCCCACTTGCACCACGCCGTCCGCGTACCCCCTCATCCTTAGGACGAGACACCGGGGCACCCCACCCTGTGCCTCCTGAGTGACCCCCACCCCAGCCTGCTGCTGCCCCCCTGTGCCTTCCCCGGGGGCTCCTGGGGTCACAGGTGGCGAGGCCCCGCCCACAAGAGGCTGGCAATGCTGAGATTCCGGGCATCGTTAGCAAAAGTCCCTTTACTGGATTTCCAGGGCTGA